ATTATTAACATTTAACTTACCATTCGCATTTGTGGCAGCCGCTACGCCTTCCCAGGCCTTCTCTTTTGCCAGCTTACTTCGATATGAAAAGTCCCCTTTGTCGAACAAACACGGATGCATTTGCACTGCCTCTATAAGTAAAAATTCCATCGTACAAACAATTAGATTTATAAATTTATAAATAAACCGCGGGAATTTAATAAGAAGTGCGCGAGACCAAGTCAATTTGGATCAATTGCCATATTTGACAGCTGACAGTACTGCCGGACTTGCTTGCGGCAAAAGTTGAGAGTTGGGCGAATTTCATCCGTTGCGGCAATGCATGCGTTGCCACTGTGGCGCATTGTATTCAAAATCACAGAGTTAACTTGGATGTCAGTCAAAAGCATCCCTGTGACGCAGAAAAGAATTTCTATCTGGCGGGGCCTTAATACGTATGCTTTGGAAAAGGGCTCATTTCCAAACTACAAGTATGAGTTGCCACCTGTTTAAAAAGCCAAACTCAACTTAAATTAGGGGAATTAGTTAATTTAAATATATATCATAATATGGGTGCCATACGCAAGAGGCTTTAGTTTGGAAAAAATCTCTAATATTTTTGGCTATGTTTAAAGATGTTGAGTTTTATTGAAATGAATTACCATTAACTTTGCACGCAGAAATATCATACACTTAGCGAAGCGGGGCAGGGCAAACTAGTGTACATATAAAACAGGAAGCGCTGGGCAAAATAAAATTTCTTTTTTGGCTTAGATCATAAATTGGCAAACTCACACTACCACACACATGCGCTTGTGTGCAAAGCACCGATGTCGTCCTCAACAGCCAGTGCTCGGACTATACCACAATTGTAAAAGAGATTCCACTATTTCTTGCTAAATTACATTTCTATCTATCTATATTTTGAAACTTCTTTTTTTAATTTGCTCATTCTTCCATCCCTAACTTTCTATTTATTTTATGCGAATTCACAATTTTGGTGCCAAAAATTAATCAGGTAATAGCAGTAGAGCAGCTCTTCTCTTTTTTTTTCAAATTATTTGGTCTCTAAAATGTCAAACGTTTTTAATTTCCTTTAACGAAAATTTTAAAGTGTAAAATTCTATTTGCATGTTAAACCTTTTTTCATACAAAAGAAGCGATTTAGGATCAGATTTTGGTACGTTCGCCTAACTCAGGAGCCCAAACGCTGATTACAGAGCCTTGCAAAGGATGGCGCCGAGCGAAGTAAGGCAGAAAAAAGCGAAGCTGCTGGTGTTCACACTGAACGAAGCGAAGCGGAGCTTTTCTCATGGACTCGGCTGCAAAGAAACCACAAAACTTACCATCAATGAAAAGCGGCAAACATATTTGCTCAATTTTATTAAGAATAGTTTTAGAATTCGATTTTATTTGAATATTTTGCTATTTTAATTGCAGGAGCGTCATGAAGCTGAAAAATTAAATAGAAAATTCAAGATCAAAAACTGCGCTGCTTTCAGCACCAAAACGCTTATGAAAAAGATTTTTGTATGAAGACTTTCATATAGCTACAGCAATTTGAAAGCTTCACTTTGCTCGGAACGGCTTCGCTCGGCTCGGCTCCGTTTTCTGTGTGAACGTACCCTTAGAGACCAGAAGCAAAATCAAAATGCCTTAATTTAACGCAAACATCTCCGAACTCCATTAAGAAGATTCACTTCAAAAACTTTCGCGGGCGAACACTGTCAACAGCAACTGATTTGATTTGCTTCGCCGAAGCACTAGCGAAGCATCAGTCAATCGTCAATTGTCGTCACAGTATATACAGTAATAAACCTTTTTGAGTACTCCTCGGGGGTAAAATCTGATCAGGGTTGATAATGAGAAGGAGCATGAAATTTGTTGATTCAGGCCCTTATTATGAGTTGCATTCGATTTTCGATCTTCGCTGGTTATCGAAGATCGAAAGTGAAAATCATATTATGAGCTATGCAACCGTGTCGAAATTTTCGTTGAGTATCGAATTTTCTGTCGAACAGAATTTTGCTTTCGATGGGGTAGCGAAGTGTTAGAAAATTGTGAAAAATGTATGATTTTGCATTTGTTTTCTTACTTTTTGGCGGGTATACACTAAATTTAAACAATTTTGTATCAATTTCATGCAGTTTTAATGTCGAGAATACAAAACACAAGCTCGAAAGGCTGCTTTTACTTGTGAAGGAAAATCCCAATACTCAGTTGGCACGATCTCCGAGAACAAATCATAGAGCTGTGGATAGTTTTAAAATATTTTAAATAGATTTGGCTCACAAACGCCTCTTTAGACAGTCGGAAGTTTTTAGTAAATCTGTAGACAAATTTCTTAAATATATTTTATGTTAAAATATATTGTAAAGACTACACTTAAACTCTCTTAAACATTCCCTACTCCTGGTCAGTTCACTAAACTCTCATCCTCTGACGAATCGTTGAACCCCAGAACTTCGTTGTACTATTTTTTACCACGTTTTTATAAACTTGCTTTCTTTTTTATTTCATTTTAATTTGCACAAATTTACATAAATATGTATAAGCACACTATTTAGTTTGCTCGATTTGTAAACAAAGCTTCTCAGCGGTGAAAAATATGCTATTGTGAACAACATAAACGATCGAAGTTCACAATAGCGCTATTCTTCATCGAATGAGCGCCATAATACCAAATGAAAATTCGTTCGATCAGCACTCTCGACCACAGTCGAAGATCGAATGTAACTCATAATAGGGGCCTCAGAGTTGTATACAAAATTACTGTGATATAAAAGGTAGCCACAACCGTGCTATGGCAGAGTGGCACATGACATGACTGTATACTAGTGACCGAAATTAATTACAGAAATGTAAATAATTTCAAATTATTCTCTATTACTATTGTTGTGGTTCCAGTTTCTCACAAAGAGTGGTGGCTCTAAAAGCGTGAGCTTACCCGGACCTGTTGCAGCTACTCCGCTGCACTCCTGTTACCTGCTGTCTGCTGGCGGCACACCTCCGGTACTGTGCCGGGAATTTCAAAAAATTTGAGGGCACTGTTATGTGTTTTTATTTTAAATCAAATATTCACACCCGACAACCACATTCGCTTTAAGAAATAATACTTCTTTTTAATTTTTTACAATTATTTTATTTATTTCTCTGAACCGTGTACGTTTCGTTGTAATGGCGCTGATCGAATGACGCCAATTCATTTTTTCATTTAGCACCTAAACTTAGCTGCTATTATTTACATTCAGGTAGGGTTGCATTAAATTTCTAATATCGTAAGTTTATAGGGTGGTTTCATGTAAGGTAATTTTGTAGAGTTTAAATTGGGATTCCTTAATCGCCTTACATCACCCTCCTTTGGAAAAAGAAGAATTTGGCAAATGGATCAGATTTGCCACATTCTTCTTGTCCATAATAAAATCGAATTTAA